AAGAGAAAAACAACACCGCGCTTCTACAAGCTCAAAATGTATTCCTAAAATGTGAGAAAAATTGTAAAAAATTAAATTGTGAAATAAAAAAATTTGAAAAATTTGATAAAAAACAATAAATTTTGAAATGATCACAAAGTGGTGAAACAATTGTGTTATCTACAACACCTGTGTTGCACAATGCCTGTGCTAATGATACTTCAGAAAAAAACTCATGGTTTAATGGTCTAGACCAGCGGTGGCAAACCTATGGCACACGTGCCACAGAGGGCACGCAGAGGGGCCTCCACTGGCACGCGTGCCTAGGTGCCGGTTACCACGGTCCGCACACTCCAGAATCACGGTGGCCATCTTTAAACCTGGCAGGGGCCCAGATCCTATTTAATATATTGCCGAACCGTCAATATATTAAATAAAAATTATCCCATGGTGGTCCAGTGGAGGATAAGTATGATCTGCATCTCATGCTGATGCAGATCATACTGATTGCTCCCTCGTGGTGCTACCGCTGACAGTCAGGGGCAATTTAGTATGGTCTGAATCAGCCAGAGATGCAGATCACACTGATCCTCCACTGAACCACCAGGGATAAGCCTCCAGTACCCCACTGGACCCCAGGGATGCAGCCCCCTCCCTGCAAAACAGGTATGCAGGAGAGGGGGCAATGTTTTAATTATTCATTTTTATTGTTAGTAGTTGTGTGTGTGTGTGTGTGTGTGAGATGTCTGTATTAGTTTTTTAATGTATGTGTGTGTCACGCTCGGCCTCGGCAACTCCGGCCGATTCAGCGCCACGGCGCTCCGGCCGTGACATCACGTGGGGCTCCGCCCCCTGGGCGCGGCTTGGTCTCATAAACCCAGCGGAGGCAATCACTCGGCGTTCAGTCAATGTGGAACGTCGAGCGATTTGCCTCCACCATCTCCAATGAACCAGTCCGGCTCCCCCACGCTGCAACCTGCAGTCCACTGGGACACATCCCTTTACCGCATCGGCCTCTCAGCCTCGCCAGGGAAACAAACTTATCCACTGAGCTGCATCACTGCCACCATAACTGCAAGTATTAGGGCTCTAGCCCTACATGGGAATACATGTGCATATACCTGTTACCATACTGCTGGAGTATTGTCTGCTTGCACTATCACCTCCAGTAATCATACTGCTGAAGTACTGCCTGTTGTTGCTAAGCTACTTGCATTGAGATATACTGCTGGAGTATTGTCTGCTTGCACTATCACCTGCATTTGTCATTCTGCTGAAATACTGCCTGTCTCTGCTAAGCTTACTGAACTTGATCATATTGCTGGAATATTGCCTGAACCTGCTAAATACCTGCATTGAGCTGTGGTAGTGTCATAAGTTAAGTCTTAGACTAGAGAGCGGTTACCACTACAGTCCCATCACACCCCCTCCTCACTAAAATTAAGCTTCCATAGTTATAGGCTGGGATACATGATGTCTGACTGATCCAATCCCATTAAGCCAACTCCTAAATTGTTCCGCAGTCGAGGTCCAGTCCCCAGCTATCCGGTTGTGCCGTGACAGTGTGTGTGGGTTTTTAATGAAGGTGCGTGTGAGTGTGCCCATAAATCTTCTGCCCCCATGTGCTCCAAGATGGAGACTCTCATAGTTTAGAGTTAGGACCGCACTATAAGAGGTGCCTTGGCGCGGCTGTGCGGCTTTCACATTTTCTGCAGAAGACGTTTATCCAAACCTCTGTTGTAAACCTTAGTGGTGAGACAAGTTTTTTTTACATGCTGGCTTGTGAGTGTGCCATGATACCTTTCTACTGTTTTATACTGTTATCCAGCTCTGTCTCCCTTTGCTAACTAGAATTTTTTCCGACAAACAGGCTTTCAATGCCTGTCTATCTAGAGTGTGACTCCTGGCCTCTTTTCCAAGTGCAACACTGACATTTCTCTCTTGGCCTTTTGGCTAAGATCAAGTGTATTCTCTGTTCTTATCAGTGTCCAGGAGGGGAAATGTGCCACTGTTCTGGCCTTATGGTAGCAATGGCTGGCTGCAGCATACTCTACCTGGTATGATGGGATCCCAGGGAAAGAAACCAAAGTGTCCCCAGGAAAGGTTGAGCTTGAGACTACTACTATTCTGACTCCGATCGTTGTGATAGCGAAATATATCCCTTGCTGAGACCTCTATGCCTGGCCTGTATAAGCAGATATACTCACTGCGGACAATCCTCGTCAGATAGCTGAACTCGTCAATACCGATTCATTCAAAAGAGGTGTTTATTCTTTACAGCAGATGATAGGAACAGCAGTTGAACGGTTATAGTATTGTGCGGTCAGAAAATGATGCCTTTCCTACGTACTGTGCAGATTACATGTGTGTCCTTGTTACATGTGGCTTTCAACTGTGCCCATGACACAGGAAGTACTGCACACAGGAAGCAGGAAGGGGCTACACTAGGGGGAAATACATCGTCACATGAGGAATAATTACAGAAAGCATGTTTGTTACAACAAAAGGCCACTAGATGGCAGCATAGGATAACACATGAATTTAGCTATGAGAAAATAGTAAGGCAATTCACACTATATAAATTCTAACCTATATAACAATGCTAATATTAACTGAGGCTATGCATCTCATATTCTATGCCCCTGCTGGGGCGGCACAACTACCCTGGTGCTAGGATTGCAAGAGGCATCGGTTCCTCCTGATTTGAATGGGTCCCCCTGGTCTGGACATGGGCTGGGAAGGCAGAAAGTCTGCAAAGTCAAAGGCATCCCCAGAAGTGGCACCCTGGGGGTCCTGTAGTAATACTATGGGTTTGGGACCCCACTGTGTGAAACAGCACTAAGACAAGACTGGGACATTTTTATTATACCAGGCCGGAAGGCCTAGCCATTGTCTTGTATGTTGCCACTTAGTCTTCATATTTGTGCACTTTCACTTTGTGTGTCACTTTTCACTCTATGAAGGTGTGGGTGTTTGGGCCTACCTGTACATCAAAGTGCAGGATGTGTGGCCATCAGGTTCCTTCCTTACCTGAACCAGGTGTCTCTCTTCGGGAGAGTCCCCAACCTAGTATTAGTAGGCCAGCTTTGGCTGGCCATGAGGAGAGGTGTCTGCCTAGCTTCAGCTGGGTGGAATAGAGTGCTCTGCCTGTATCAGGATCTCTGCACTCCAGGATACATACACCATGTGCATCTTTTTTGTATGTTCACATGCACCTTTTTGGTTCACCATGTGTTTAGTTTTTGCATGCCCATTGCAGGCTTGAAAAAAAAGAAGAAACTGGCATTTTCTCTTCCATTGCCCATTTCTTGCTCACATCTGTCTCCTTTAACGTATTCTGATCCCATAATATATGCTGGTCTCAATCCGCTCCCAAGAGATAATTTTACTGGGCAATGCACATTTGGATCTGGATTCATTATTCGTTTCGTGATATTGCTTCTTCAGGAGTCCTGTGAATACATAAATTAGACAATTACAATTTCTGTTTTTTCATTAAATATACAGTATATATACATAGATAATATACATGTGTCAATCATTATTCAGTACAGAAGTCAGCAATGTAACACACAGTACAGAGGTCAGCAGTGTAAGGCTCCGTTCCCACTGCGCAATATGCAAATCTCGCGTTTGTTGCGCGATTTGCATATTGCGCGACATTGCGAGATTTGCCGCGCGATGTCGCGTTCAAGCTTGCATTGAGCAAGCTTGAATCGCGGCTAAATCCGCTCCAAAAAGGGTCCTGCTGTAGCGACACACGACCCGCGACAGCAGGACCCTTTGCCCCATTGGATTGCATTGGAGCGCGATATCGTGCGGTGATATTGCGGGAATTACCACGCGATAAATCGCTCAATGTGAACGGGGTCTAAGGCAGAAATAACAGGGACCTCCAGTGCACATAGCTGAAGTGATTCAGGTGCCCTCTTTCTCTTCTTCTGGTGGTGGGGGTTGTACAGCAATGTATCCTCCATGTCCAACGTGAAGCCTCCCTACTGTCCTGCCTCTCCTGCCAATAGTATCTCTGCAGGCTTCCTTCCAGCCTATGGCAGCTGAGGGCGGAGGAAGCTGCAGGTGGCCGGAGTAGCCGCCGGTGTAAGAGAAGACAGCCGAACTGATTCTTCTCCTCGGCCGCTCTGTAGCGGCAGCGGCCGAGAAGAGAGAGAACCGACATGTCGATCGCCGCTGCTGAACTGGTGATCTCTGCTGCTGAAGCGACTGCAGTTTCCCCCCTGAATTTCCACTCGCCCCAACACGCAATTTTCACTCGTCCCGCGCAATTTCGAGGGGGCAAGTGGAAATTTTTAACCCTGACCTATACACCACATTAGGAGGTAAGTTGCCCCGCACTGGGATTTCGATCACACATATTTATGTCTCCGTATGCTCACATTTAATATCACCGGAGATAGGGCACAATGCAGGGGAGACATCAGGGGCCTAATAGACTCATGTCTCCATAAAGAGAATCTGTCACCTCCAAATGCTATCACATGGGGGTTTATGAGCCCTCACGTTATAGCAATAAAGTTAAGTGAAAAAAATGATAAAGTGAAAAAGAAATCAACCCTGCTGCATGCGAATGAAAATGTTAGGCATTTATCTGTATGTAAACGAAATTGGTCCACACATTAGGTATCGCTGCGAACATCTGAGTGAGGGCAATCATGCTAGGGCCATAATTTTCTCGCTATAACCCCATCTTTTATATTTTACAAAAAAAAGGGTATGAAATTGTGTTTGTGTGCGCTAAATAAAAGTTTAGTATTGTGTTTGGCTTTTTATTCCACCCGGGAAGAAATTATATGAAAGTGTGCTAATGAAGGAGAAGAGGCGATGGCGTGAATGATTTTGGCGGGAGTTCTCCTCAGATATGAAGGCCATATAACAATGTCATGGCAGCCTTCCACTGACAGGAAAGTAATCTTCATCAACCAGAATCGGAGATCCGAGCTGCAACACATCGATCGTATCCTGTCACCAGCCGGTGTGCAGAACAGAGAGAGATGCGATGCCCATTGATATGAATGCGGGGAGTGTCTGTGGGCGGCTTCCTCTGCCCGCACTCCTCCTCTTCCCAGTGTGTCAGTGACTTGGACCAGCGCTGGCCGGGCTGCTGCTCTCACCGGCTCCAGTACACAGCAGGAAGTGGAGGCGCGGGGTGATCAGGTACCGGGACCGGGGGCTGTGTCCTTGTCACCGAGGATGGGGGGAAGGGGACATCACACCGCCGATCCGGGCTGACAGGAGCCCGAGGGGAGCGGCTGCGGTCTGTGTATGCACAATTCTCCATCGATCCCATTGTGTGATAATGGACGAGCACACCCTGTGTATTCATCGGGGTTCAGTTATATGGCCGCCCACATGGCTCACATCTGGGTGCAGCATTCTATTATTATGAATCATGTCGGGTGGGATTGCAGGGTGATCCTGGCATTACATTGTCATTGTGCCCGCACACCACACCAATGATTAGATGAGGATTACAATGTGTCATCTGCCTGTTCCTGGCTATAAATACCCCATGATTTCATGTCATCATGGCTGCAGAGTGATGATGATGAGGATGATGATGAATGGGGAGGGGGGGTATGTCGGATTACCTGAAGTGGGGTGCGGCTCTTTGCAAACTGTTTATACTCTTACCGTATGTCATTTGTAGCCATGTGCAGATGTCTATTCTATAACATTCAATATCTGACTTGTTCTTGTGACAACCGCCCCTACATCAGATAATTGTGCATGGCACGATCACATTTAATTCCGCACGGGCGCTTGCGTAGTCAGTCGCACAAGATTTCCGATTGCAGCCTGGCGGGATGACACATTGCACATGTGGCCGGGCCTCGATGGTGTTTATGAGATGCTACATTACCAGCTTTCTCTACAAGATGCTGGACGATCAATATCCAGCGTTCTTTTTTTTGGTCAGGACAGGATCCAGCGCGCACACACACACTGTGATGCTGCAGAAAGTTCTACACGTCGTGCTGTGTCTGCTCAGCCATATTAAATGGTTTGCAGAAAACGATTCCCATCGTACAGGCGGCAGGGTCTTAGAAATGTGCATTTTATTTATTTATTACTGGTATTTATATCACGTTGACAATTTCCACATTGCGAAACATTCACATCAGTCGCTCCCCTCAAGGAGCTTACAATCTAAGGTCCCCAACTCACATACATATGGGGCCAATTAACTTTCCAGCATGTCTTTGGAGTGCGAGAGGAAACCCACACAAACACAGGTAGAACATGCAAACTCCATGTAGATAGTGACCTGGCCGGGATTCAAACCAGGGACCCCCAGTGCTGCAAGGCAGGAGTGCTAACCACTACATCACTATGTTATTAGGCAGGTTCATGTGCTGGGAAATATCCTGATATAGTGTCATTGATTTTTGTTTCACAGGAATGTGACCTTCGCAGTATAGTCCTTACTCCGTGAACTGTCAGCTATAATAGGGCAGGTAATAGGGCAGTGCATTCTGAACAATGCTGGTCACCGCTGGGGAGACATGTTGCAGCGCATTGTGGACAAATGTGGAGGTTCTGCATTGTTCCGCAGCACACCAGAGCTCACTTCAAGTCACCATAAGTCAGCGCAACTCAGCCATGGTCCATGAACTATATTGAAGTGTCAATTTGTAAGATTTCAATAAAGTTTAAAAAAAAAGAAAAATGTAACAGCGCAAAGCAATCCCCCCTTTCCGCCACTCATAAACAGCTTTATTTTCTAGCAGGATGTTGCAGTACAGTTTATGGAGAGTTAAACAGCAGAATTCACAACAGTAGTAACCAGCACTGGGTATGATCTATAACCAGAGCCCTGGCTGCCCTATCAACCAGGAAAGAGAGTCATTACTGTGTATAATAAGGATGCACCCATACTAGTACTCGTACTCGCCCAAATGCTCCGATGCCTAGCCGGATACTTCCTGTATCAGGAAGTCGGGCAGAGCGTCATTAGTCACTTGTGATGAGAGAGCATGGAGCCGGCTTCCCGGCCAATCAGGAAGCTGGGTAGCGTGTAATGACGTGCTGCCCGGGCTCTTGATTGGTTGGGAAGCTGGCCAATCAGAAAGCAGGGCGCCGCGTCATTCCATGATTGGCCAGCAAGACGACTCTGGCTGGGTACCGGAGGAAGGTCGCTCCTGGCTGGAGAGGCCCCGGGGGTGACAGCCTGGGCATGCCGACATGAGATGGGATAGACTTTCTTGTTAATCGGGAAGCCGGGTGGCGAGTCTTTACAGGCTGCCCGGTTTTCCGGCTAATCAGGAAGGCAGGTGGCGAGTCATTACACGCCACCTGGCTTCCTGAATGGGACTTCCGGTAATTGGTATAGGCGAGTACCGGAAAAGAATTATCGGTACTCGTACTCGGTAGCAAAATACCGGTATCGGTGCATTCCTAGTGTATACTATTACACTGCATGTGTAGCCAAATATCGAACTATACCGAATTGTAAACTGTCTGACCTGCCAAAAATCATCTCTGAATTTGTGCTGACACTGTCCTTCCTTCTGGAGGGAGGCTACTATTTTTCTTCCCCATGGTCACTGTGTGTGTTGTAAAGAAGTCACCGCTCCAAGCTCACTCTGGTGATAGACTACAATCTCAGGTTTAGTTTACCCATTTGTATTGAGATTGTTGTCCATCACAGAAGCTACTTTACAACACACACAGGGACTATGGGGAACAAAAGTAGCCAGCCTCCAGAAGGAAGCACAGTGTCGGCACCAATTCAGAGATGATTGGAGGATCTACAGCCGAGTGATACACAAATAAGATACATTCCTGTTAATAGTTAAAGGAGAACTATGAGATGAGTGCTTTTCACTCACCTCATAGTTCTAAGCCGACCTGTGACAATGAGACTGTCACAGGTCGGCTCAGTAGATCGGGAGGTGAGCGAACACATACCAGGTTCCCTCACCTCTCGATCCTGTCACGGCTCTCTGCCATGACAGGGGGAGGGGCTGGATTCCCCTCTCCCCGCTCTGATCTGCCAGCGCTGACTGGCGGAACGGACGGGGGAGGGGGCGGGTACAGCTGGCTCTGCCTCTAGGTAGGCAGAGCCAGCTGTCACTCATGCAGCTGGGCGGATCCCGTCATCTACGTCGGGATCCGCTCCAGGTGCGGCGTCTCAGTATACCGCGAGCTGTGGCTCGTGGTATACTGAGCTTAGGGTAACGGGAGGACACTAGTTTGTGTCCTCCCGTTACCCTAAGGAGAACTATGGGGAAAAACACTGACCCCATAGTTCTCCTTTAAGGTACTTGATTGTGTTTTTAAGATTTACCTCCTGAGTTTAATGAAACTAAAAACTAAGTTTTTGAATACATATTTCCTGGAGGTTGCATCATTACCTAACCTCCAGCTACCTGACCATTTTCTGATTTTTATGATTACAACATAAGATATTTGTTGTTTGACTATCATAACAAATCATAACAGGGTGGAAGTGCTTTGTTCTAAACCAATAATATTAATATTAGTATACCCAGATCACTGTCTAAGGGCCCATTCGCAGTTATTACACACTATTGCACAGTGCACCTGGCGGGCAGTACTAGGCACTAGGGGTTTGAATGGCACCTTAGTGCACCTCCTGGCAGCCATGCATTCCAGTCCAGTGCAACACCCAGTACATCAATACCGTGCAGTATAAAAAAGTAATGCATGCAACATTACAGTACTCCACACTGCAACACATAGCTGTTGGGAGGTGTGCTGGGGTGCCATTGAAATGAAGGGTAATGCAACACACGGTACCACACACTAGGTAAATGCTATGGTGTGAACGCGTCCAAAGACATTTTCCTTACTGACTGACTCCAGAGTATCATATATAGATGACATGTAATGGCCTCTTTAGGAATGGCAGTGATAACAGGAGCTGTACATGGAAAACATCCTAAGCCTTTGTTCACACCTCTGCCATGTGACAACGCAGGGGTGCTGCAGGGTACACTTGTGGTGTGCCTACTACAACTACAGCTTAATCCAACTGAAATAAGTGCGCGCCCCTTTTTTTCATGTTGCATCACACCACATTGCATAGTAGTAGGTTACCGTGTGATATGGTGCAATTCAATGCAAGTGCAATGGCTAGGTACATTGGGGTGCCATTAAGAAATAACCACTTCCCACCAAACATTGCAACATGCGATGCGGGTTCAGGTGCAGCATCACACATGCTCCTGCATTGCATAGCTGTGAACGGAGCCTAAAAGAAGTCTGTAGGCTCCATTTACAGCGCTGTAAGGATGTGTTATTTGCCCTAACGATCATTCGTTCAGCAATGTGACCGCTATTATCAGCTGAAAATAATAGTATTGATAGCAAATAACGATCTTATTGACTAGTGCATTGAGTCTTATGACATAACTGGCTAGTTCTGCTGTCCATTAACCCAGTGCTGATGGGGCGTAACTGAAAATGTTTTTTCTTTATCCAGGAAAGTTCCTCTTGTTTTGTTATACTTACCTAGATCTTGCTCTGGTGCCTGTGGCATTGTTTACATTCCTCAGCTAGCATCTTGATCCGATATCCGATCATGCACGATGTGGCAACATGGATGTGCATGGGGCTGGTAGAATGTTCCACTCCTATCCATCTACCAGCCTCATAGAAATCTATAGGGCTGAAATGCACATGGCCAGACATGGGATCAATAAGCTGACTGAGGAATGTAAACAATGCTATGGGCATCCGAACAACATCTAGGTAAGAATAGTGATTTGCAAGGGAGTTGCACCTACTTGGAGGGGTTTGGGCCAGAAGGGGTTGCCAACGCACCCGAATGTGCTTAAAATTGCAAATTACTTTTTTTCTAACGCACTGCAACACACTACTGCACATTGCCGTGCATTTGGGGGAGCTACATTGCAGATGCCCTGCTTGGTGTTTTGGGGTGCCACTTGGAATGAATAGCACAGCAACGCATGTTACGTCTTTTACCCAAGAGTCAAAGTGTGAATGGACCCTTGTACCTAGAACTACTGCAGTGAAAGTAAACTGCATCACACAATATAAACTCTGTTCATTTTGAGAATAGCCTAAAGCAGTGATGGCAAACCTTTTTGAGCCCGAGTGACCAAACTGGATCACTAAACCAACTTATGTGTCTCAAAGTGCCAACCCCGCACTTCGACCCAAATACTGAT